GATTTAGGGAAAGGATACTCTTCTCTGACTGAGTGTCCACCAGGACAGACATGCCAGAGTATTGGCTCATGTCTTTGCTTGGGATTTCTTCCAGCCATGCAGCTTGACCTGTGTTAAGGCAGTGGGCAAGGGGAGGGTCTGGAAGGAGACAGTGGCCTTGAACACGGGTGGTTTCCTTGCTGAGATACTTACTGGTGAGGGAAGTGCAGCTGTTCTTTCTTTTTCACCACAGGGCCACACTGACTCATGAAAGCAAGGAGCCAGAGGCTGTTATTCATTCATTCCCACCATACCCTCCCGTGTTCCTCTGTGCGCATTGCACATGTGTTCCCAAAGTGCTCATGCTGCAAGGCTCTGCCTGGATGCAGAGGCCCCCCACGTGGAGCCAAGAAGTCCTTGTCGTTTGTTGTCTTTGTCACGGTCACCTGATGGCATTGCTGGCTATACTGAGTGGCTCCAGATGTCCTACAATTTTCCCAGCCTGCCTCGCTGGGCTGTTTCATGGTGAGCAGGAGGGGATGCAGAGGGCACAGCCCCATGGGTCAGCTCCCTGCACAGTAGGGCCACACAGGTCACGTGGGGTGTGGGTGGCCTGGCCAGGGAGGAATCTGCAAACCTTCATGCACTCCTGTGCCCCTCGGTACAGCATGTAAGGGTACAGCTGAGGTGATGGCCCCTTGCTAATGGGTTCAGGAGGCACCCAGGATTAACCCTGAGCCTTCTGGTCAAGTGATGGCAACCCTAAACTCTGCAGTCAGGTGTTTTGGGAGGGCAAGCTTCTGTCCGTATGTGTGTATTTGTGTACTCACGTGTGCCTATATATAAAAAACTGCTTACTTACTTACTCACTCACATACGTAAGTGTCTTTTGCAGGGCTGGACAAGTGGCAACAAATTATTTCAATTTCTGTTTACTATGAAAGGTCTTTATTTCACCTTCATTCACAAATGAGTGCTTTGCAGGATATAATATTCTGGGCTGGCAGTTTTTCTCTCTTAGTGCCTGGGCTCAATCTTGCCATTCCCTCCTAACCTGTAGGGTTTCTGATGAGAAGTCTGCTCTTAGTCTAATTGGAGATCCTCTGAGAGTAATCTCAGAGTTTCTCTCTTGCACATTTTAGAATCTTTTCTTTGTTTCACTATGGTGACCTTAATTACAATGTTTCGTGGTGAGGATCTCTTTTGGTCATGTTTATTGGGGGTTCTATGAGCTTCCTGTACTAGGATGTCTCTGTCCTTCTCCAAACCTGGAAAGTTCTCTGCTAGTATCGCACTAAAAAGGCCTTCTAATCATTTCTCTCTCTGCATGCCTTCAGGAACTCCTAGAACCCGAATGTTGGATTTTTAAATAGTATCCTGTAGTAGATTCCCGACAATATTTTTTAGATTTCTAATTTCCTGTTCTTTTCTTTGGTTTGACTGTATATTTTCCTGTGCTCTGTCTTCTAAGTCCGATATTCTCCCTTCTGCTTCACTGATTCTGTTTTTAAGGCTCTCTAATGTGCTTGTCATTTGATCTGTTGAGTTCTTCATTTCATTTAGATTTCTCTTCACTATCACACTTTCCTGTTCTACTAGTTTCTTCATTTCATTTTGATTCCTCCTTAAGATTATATTTTCTTTTTATTTTATTTTCTTTTATTATTTTTTTTGACAGGCAGAGTGGACAGTGAGAGAGAGAGCCAGAGAGAAAGGTCTTCCTTTTGCCATTGGTTCACCCTCCAATGGCCACCGTGGCTGGCGCGCTGCAGCCGGCGCACCGTGCTGGTCCGAAGCCAGGAGCCAGGTGCCTCTCCTGGTCTCCCTTGTGGGTGCAGGGCCCAAGGACCTGGGCCATCCTCCACTGCACTCCCGGGCCACAGCAGAGAGCTGGCCTGGAAGAGGGGCAACCGGGACAGAATCCGGCGCTCTGACTGGGACTAGAATCCAGTGTGCTGGCACCACAGGCGGAGGATTAGCCTATGGAGCCATGGCGCCGGCCATAAGATTTCATTTTCACGAGAGAGATTTTCTATCCTGGCCAGTAAGGATTTCTGTAGTTCAAGAATTTGTTTTTGAGAACTTCTAAATGTTCCTATACATTTTTTGAAATCCATATCTTGTATTTCTTCTATCTCATCATCTTCATTATCTTGAATTGGGGTGTCTTGTTCATTTGGCATCATAATATCTTCCTTGTTCTTGTTTCCTCGGTTTCTACATTTGTTGCTTGGCATTGTGGAGATATTCTTTGGTTTCTTCTTTTTTTTTCCTTCACTGTGGTGGTTTTTCTCATTATTCTGTGACTCTAGACTAAGTGGACTGTCTGTTTTTGATGGATCCTAGAGGCTTGTGAGGGGTGTGGCCAGAGAGCTGTGTTAGGTTCTTCAGGGTTAAAGGTGTGCCAAAGGTGACACACCCAGGTTAGGTGTGGTAAATATTCTCTCTGTCTCACTCTCTTTTTATTCAGAAGGGAAATAATTCTGCACAGCCGAGCAGAATTGAAGGTAGTCAGTGTCTGAGCTCTGTCCCCTGTGAGTATAATATGTATCTTCTCTGTCCCAAGGACCACACTAAGGATCTGTGCAGTCCTCAGCATAAGCTCAAATTCTCCTGCAGTCTCCCACCGGGTTGCCAAGTTTACCAAGTTTGTGTACTCTCCCGAGAGTACTCACATCTTGGGTACTCAGTGAGTTCTCTCACACAATTTCAGTTTTTTTTTTTTCACAGTCTCAGTTTCTTAGCTCCACACATTCACTCGGTCCTAACCTCCTGTTACTTCTGCCCACCAGAGTCAGGTTTTTCTGCTTGGCTGATGGCGGGTGCAGCTTTTATGTATGTCCACAATGGTGCCTGTTCTTTGTCTTGCCCACCTTTGTAAGGTGAGTGGAAAGAGAGAATCATGTCTGTACTGGTCCTATTTATTTATTTATTTATTTTTTCTCTCCTCTAGTTAGGCTGGTGAACTTCCCCCATGGGGCTTTAAGCCTCGTTCCCTCTAGGCTCTTCCTGCCGTTTTCCTGCCAGTGTCTCGGGCTACTGCGGTTTCACCTCACCTCCATTTCCAGCGCTGTTGAGTAGCCTTGGCAACTGGGGTTCCGAGCCGTGGACACCCGTGCCCTCCACATAGGTCCACCGTGTACCCCTAGTTCTGGAAGAGTTTCCTCTGCAGTTTTTTCCATAACTCTTCCCTGAAACTACAGTATCTCCACTTTTATTAAACTGTCTTTTCCTGGACTATCAGTGTGTTCCCTCCCTATTCCACCATCTTAGAAGATTCCTCGGAATACATTTTTAAGAATACAGTATGTAACTGTTTTTTGTACATGACAAAGTCCTTAATTTTAGAAATTCACAACTGTCTAAATAGCCAAAGAATCCCACAATCTGGTATAGATATGAAACATTTTCTTCTATTATAAAAAAATTAAAATTAACCCATATTCTAACATTGAGAAATGAGATAAAAAGTACAAACATTATAAAGTGCATGTAGAAAATACCAAGTGACCTCAGATGCTACCTTTCTGTATTCTATCTTGCTTTGTGGAAGATATGATTTTTCCCATTTCAAACATGATCCATACGTTAAATGCAGGGCTAGACTGTGGATGGCAGAGACTGGGAAGCAGACCTGTGTTCAGTGGAGAACTTTGTAGATCACAGGTGTTTCAAGTCCTTGTGCGAGTGTCTTAATAAATAAATTACAAAGATTGCCTCATGCGAAAGACAGAGATAACACCACACAGAATGTTTGTAAGGAAGAAGAGAACGAATGAGTACTGGAATCTTTTCTAAGACAGATTTAAACTCTTTTTCAAATTCTGTGTTAATAGGGTATGTAATGCATATAATATCAAATTCTACATAAACTCTAGTAGTTGGTCTTGATGTAGTATTTTAGTTACAGCTATGTCTTCCTTCTTTAATTTTTTTTACTGTTTTTAAAGATCCTATTTATTTATTTGACATTGAGAGTTACACGCAGAGAGGATGAGAGGCAGAGAGAGAGAGAAAGAGGGAGATAGAGGGGGAGAGAATGAGGGGGAGGTCTTCCATGTTCTGGTCCACTACCCAGTTGGCTGCAAAGGGTGGAGCTGAGTGGATCTGAAGCCAGGAGCCAGGAGCCTCACCGGGGTCTCCTCTTGTGTGCAGAGGCACAAGGACTTGGGGCATCTTCTACTGCCTTCCCAGTCCACAGCAGAGAGCTGTGTCGGAACTGCAGCAGCCGGAATATGAACCAGCACCCATATGGGATGCAGGCACTGGGGGTGGTGGCTTTACCCACACCTCAAAGTGCCGATCCTCCCGGAAGCCATTCCCCTGGGATCCAGCTGTCTGCTAACACGCCTGGGAAAACAGAGGGAGACAGCCCAAGGACTTAGGCCCCTGAACACAGAATGGAGCACCGGATAAAGTCCCTGGCTTCTGCTTCTGCCTGTTGCAGTCCTGGCCTTTGCAGCCACCTGGGGTGTGAACCCCCAGATGGACGATTACTCAGAGCAAGAGTGTGTGCTGGCAATGCTGCTTGTATTGCTGCTCTCTCCCAAGAGGTGGCAAGGGCCAACACTGGGCCAGACAGAAGCCAGGAGGCAGGAGCTCCATTCAGGACTTCCACAAGGCACGGATACAGGGTCCAGGGTACCTGGGCCATCAGTGGCTGCCTCCCTGGGACACAACCTGGAACAGGAGAGGCAAACTGGAAGTGGCCCTGCGTGCAGCAGTGCAGAGAAGTGTCCTGTGGAATCATTAAAATAGCCCATGGGGACTGCACTTTCACCCTGCCCTGTGACCCGGAAGTGCACCCGCTTGTGCGGCCCTGAATGCTCCACAGTGCTCAAGTGGGAGTCAGTGCCGCGTCCACTCCTGCCCAAGAGCCTGCACAAGTTGTGAGGAGCCATCCCCGATGCTGCTGGCTGAGCCTGAGGGAAACCCAGCAGCTCCAGCGTCAGGCTGGGATCAGGAGAGGCTGTGGGTTCTAGACAGTCATGCCATTTCCCAGACTCATTTTTCTTCTTCAGACCCTTCTGGAAGCAATGGCCTTTGCGGGCCTCTGTCCCGCCAGCAGACCAAGCCTGCTTGAAGGTGAGTGATGCATGGCTTTTGCAGTTTTATGCTGGGAGTCTTGGGTGCTGGCGTGCCCGTTGCTCTTGGGTCCCGAAGGCGTGGGTGGAGTCGGGGTCATGCTATGCGGACGGTATGGAACTTTCCCCAGTTTGGGAGCAGCTGTGCAAGAGCAGAGGTGGCTCGGTCTCCTCCCAGAATGGCCCCACGTTCCCGTCTGTTTGCTTTTTGATGGCCCAGCCGCCCTGCTCTAGACTTCTGAGCGTGTTCTGAGGAGGAATGAGAGCGAAAATGCTTGTCTGTGTCCTGGTCTAGGAGGACAGTTTCAGGTTACTCTCATTAGGTGAGATGTTAGTGCTCTGTGGGTTTTTCATGAAAGAGCATTGTCAGGCCGAGGTGTACCTTCCATTCCTAATTTGATGTTTTTTTTTTTTTTAATATTGCAAAAGTAATGGAAGTTTTTGTGAAATAGTTTTTCTGAGTCTATAGGGATAATGTGTGGTCTTTTCTCTTGTTGATTCTGTTCTGGGATATATTGATTTTGTATGGTAGCCATCCTTGAATTCCTGGAGTAACTGTCAGTTGCACACCGTGAGCTAAGCTTTGCTTCTTTTTCTGGACCACATTTGGTAATTTGTTCAGGACTGTGACAGATTCATGATAGATATTTATATGCTACATTTTTTATGATGTGTTTGTTTTCGATGTTGGGATAATTCTGTTCTGATGGAATAAAATGGGATGTTTTCCCTCTTAATTTCCTTTTTGGAAGGATTTGCGAATCACGGATTTTAATTACCCTTTAAATGGGAGTTCTCACTGGTGAAGCCTTGTGGTCCTGGAATTTTCTTCATTTTTTGTGTTTGTTTTTTGGTTTCCCTGCCAATACAGTCTCATTTCATGTTAAAAGTATATTCAGGCCGGTGCCACAGCTCAATACACTAATCCTCCACCTTGCGATGCCAGCACACTGGGTTCTAGTCCCAGTCAGGGCACCGGATTCTGTCCCGGTTGCCCCTCTTCCAGGCCAGCTCTCTGCTGTGGCCCGGGAGTACAGTGAAGGATGGCCCAAGTGCTTGGACCCTGCACCCCATGGGAGACCAGGAGAAGCACCTGGCTCCTGCCTTCGGATCAGCATGGTGTGCTGGCTGCAGCGCACCAGCTGCAGTGGCCATTGGAGGGTGAACCAGCGGCAAAAGGAAGACCTTTCTCTCTGTCTCTCTCTCTCTCACTGTCCACTCTGCCTGTCAAAACAATTTTAAAAAAAAGTTGATTCAGAGTTTCTAGTTTGACTTCAATCATTTTAATGGTTTGTTTCTTTCTGAGAATCAATCCATTGTATCTACATTGACCAAATTCTTGTGCCTTGGTTTTCCCATAGTGTTTTTTGATGATTATTTTAGTAAGGTTGTTAGTAATGTCCTCTCTGTCATTTCTCTTGTTATGTCACTTGAGTCTGTTCTCTTTTTTCCTTGTTTCATGTGGATAAATGTATTGTCAATTTCATTGAGGTTTCAAAAATTGTATTTTGGTCTCACTGAATTTTTGTTGTGATATTCTCTATGCCGTTGGCTTCATTTCCATTTGAATCTTTTTCCTCCTTCTGGTTTCTTAAGATTTACTTTGCTGTTCTAGTGTTTTAAGGTAAAATTGGGTTTATTGATCCGATGTTTTTATTCCTTAATATATACCTGTAGAGCAATACAATTTTTCCTGTGAAATTATTCCTGTCAACATGGAAAACTGTATGGATGTACCCACTACTGGGAGCATGTTGAAGGAAATGAAATCATTTTGTAGACAGAGAGGTTTTCACAGGCCTATGCTTATTGCAGTAGAATGCACAATAGCCAGGCTATGCAGTCTATGTATGTATGTATGTATGGTGTACATAGCCCATAATGTCTTTATTCAGTCTTGAGGTGATCAGCATTTTGGCTGATTGCATATCTTTGACATTGTGCATTGATTTATGGGGGCAGAGATAACTCTTTGTTCGTATGTTGCTTTCATTTCCCTTGGGTATATTCACAGGGGTGGAATGCCTGGCTCCTATGGTACGTCTATATTCAGATTTCTGACTTATCTCCATACTGTCTTTCACAGTGGTGATACCAGTTTACATTCCCACCAGCAGTGGATGCGGGTGCCTTTTCCCTCCATATCCTCAAGGCCGTTGTAGTATTGATTTGCATTTCCCTGATGGCTAGTGATCCTGAGCATTTCTGCATGTGTTTGTTGGCCATTTAGATTTCCTTTCTTGAAATATTTAGCCTGTTGAAGTCCCTTGCCCATTTCTTGAGTGGGTGGTTTGTTTTGCTGTTGTTGAGTTTCTTGAAAGTTTCCGGTAGTTTATCCTTTATCAGTTGCATACTTTGCAGATAATTTCTCCCATTCCGTTAGTTGCCTCTTTAGTCTTGCAGGGCAGAAGCTTCTCAATTTGTTTTTTTTGGTGTCCTCTTCTATCCCTTTCTTTAATCTGTTGTGATCCCCAGATATTGAACATCCTTGGTTTTATTTATCCAAACGATTATATTTTCTTTGTAGCTCTGTGAATGGGATTGGTCTTTGAAGTCCTTTCTCAGCCATGACATTGTTTGTGTATACAAATAGGCTGCTGATATTCTATCCTGCCACTTTACCACATTCTACTCTGAGTTTCAATAGTCTCTTAGTGGAGTCTTTTGGATCTCCTATATATAGAATCATGTCATCTGCAGATAGGGATAGTTGGACTTAACTCCCTTCCAATTTGTATCTACAATTGAGAAATGAGAGAAGAAGTACCAACATGATCATGTGCACGTAGAAAATGGCAACAGTGACCTCGGATGGTACCTTTCTGTATTCTGTCTTGCTTTGTGGGACACGTGATTTGTCCCATTTCAAACATGATCCATACGTTAAATTCAGGTCAAGAATGTAGAGGGCGGGGACTGGGAAGCAGAGCTGTGTTCTGTGGAGAACTCCAGATCACAGGTGTTTCAAGTCCTTGTGCGAGTAGGTACATAAATTTCTGAAGAAGTAAATTACAAAGATTTCCTCATGCGTAAGTCAGAGATAATACCACACAGTATGTTTGTAAGGAAGAAGAGAATGAATGGGTACCATAATCTTTTCTAAGATTGATTTAAATTCTTTTTCAAATTCTTTGTTAATTGGGTATGCAATGCATGGAGTATCACATTCTAAATAAACTCTAGTAGTTGGCCGTTTTGTAGTATTTTATTTACAGCTATGTCTTCCTTTTTTAATTTTTTACTTTTCTGTAAACATTTATTTATTTGAAATTCAGACATATACACAGAGAGGATGAGAGGCAGAGAGAGAGAGACAGACAGTCAGAGAGACAGATAGATAGGTTTTCTATCTGCTGTTCCACTTCCTAGTCGGCTGCAATGGCCAAAGCAGAGCAGATCCAAAACCAGGAGCCAGAGCCACCCGTGGTTACTTTTGTGGGTGCAGGGTTCCAAGGAGTTGGGCCATCTTCTACTGCCTTCCCAAACCACATCAGAGAGCCACATCGGAAGTGCAGCATTCGGGACTCAAACCGGCGCCTAGATGGGATGCACGATGTGGGTGGTGGCTATACCCACTACCCCACAATGCCAGGTGCTCCGGAAGTCATTGTCCATGGGATGCTGCTGTCTGCTAACATTCCTGGGAAAGCAGAGAGAGAAGGCCCAAGGTCTTAGGACCCTGAACCCAGAGTGGAGCACTGGATAAAGTCCCTGGCTTCTGCCTTTGCCTGGCTGAGCCCCGGGATTTGTAGCCACCTAGGGGGTGAACCCCCAGATGGATGATCACTCAGAGCGAGAAAGAGTACTCGCGATGCTGCTTGCACTGCTGCTCTCCCCAAGCAGTGGCAAGGGCCAGTGCTGGTCCAGGAAGAAGCCAGGAGGCAGGAGCTCCATTCAGGACTCCCACTTGACAGGGTGGCTGGGTTCAGAGTGCCTGGGCCATCAGTGGCTGCCTCCCTGGGTCACAGCCTGGAGAGGCAGGAATGGAAGTGGCCCTGGGGCATCAGGGCATAGCTGCGTCCCCTGGTGCCCTGTCAGTCACCAGTGAGGAGTGCGCCTGTGCCCAGCGCTGTGACCTGGAAGTGCACCCACAGGCGCATCTGTTTTTTCTGCACGGTGCCCCAGCCCAGAGCTTGTGTAAGCACTGAGTTACTGATTTCGATGCTGGTGGCCAAGCCTGAGGAGACCCAGTGCCCCCCAGGGTCAGGCCGGGATCAGCTGAGGCTGTGGTGAGGCAGCCGCTCAGTTATCTTGTGCTTCTGGAACTTTCTAGGCACAGTCCTCTTCTTTGGCCGCTCTGAAAGACTGCACCTCAGGACCGGGTCCCTGTGTCAGGAACAGAAAGGTTCTTTCTGTGGAGAGTTTGGCCGCGGTGGCCTTCCTGTCACTGGGTAGGTGGGGCCTGGGGGACAGTGAGTGGGGAGGGTGTGTGTGAGGGGTAGCTGAGATAGAAGGTGGAAGAGAGTGGGGGTTAAGGGGAGGCTGGAGGAGAGAGGAAGGGGGGAGAATGAAAAGGTGGTGTGAAGGTGGGGAGGCAAGGAAGGGAGGGGCAGAAACCCACGTTGGGGAGAAGAAAGGAAGGGGGAGAGTGCCAGGAGTTCTGGCGGGCATGTGTGGTGCAGGGGATTGGGAGAGGTAGAATTTTTCCCACAGGGCCCAATTCTGTCTTGGGGGTTTTCTGTCCCTGGCCGGAAGTAGCCTTTGCCACGTCCTTGAGAGGACTTGACTCATGCCTCTCTTCTCCAGGTAGTTCAGAAGTGTAAGGTGAATGTGCAGGAAAACGGGGGCACGGGGCACTCGAATTATTTGGCAGCTAATCCGGTGAATTTTCACAGGCTGCACACATGGAGGAGAAAGCAGAAGCTTAGAGAACCCCCAAGAATCCTTCTCTGTGCTCTGTTCCAGCCTGCCCCCAGATTCTGACACCTCATAGTAAGTACTAGATATTCTTTTCTATTTAAATATTGGTTTGAAAGGCAAAGTTCTAGATAGGCGGTGCAGGAGAGATCTTTGTGTATGGGTTCACCCCCCAGGTGGCTACAATGTCCTCGGGCTGGGCTAGGCCAAAGCAGACACCATGTACTTTATCCAGTACTCCAGTGTGGGTTCGGGGGCCCAAGTCCTTGGGGTGCTTCCTCTGCTTTTCTAGGTGTTTGATCAGACAGCTGGATCACAAGTGGGAATAGCCTGGGGGTGGGGGAGTGGCAGACAGAACAGTGGCATAGTGGATGAAACTGCCGCCTGCAGTACCAGCATCCCATATGGGTGTCTTCCTTCTCTGTGATACTTTTCTCTCATTCCCCCCAGCAGAACGAAGTATCCAGAGCTTCTGTAAGACACTACCTATACATGTAAAGTGCTTACCCATTTTATCACCATTTATTTGCTAAATACCTGTATCCCGTATAAGACTGTGAGCTTGTCCAGGGCAGGACTTTGTCTCTCTGCTTTCATTCCTGTAGTCCCTGGTACACAGTTGGAATTCAGCTTATGCAGAATTAACAATGCACTCACTTTTGGATCTTGGGACAGGAAGTGTTGGTTATAGAAAGGTCTGTTTACAGGGATAAAGGTAGGAGGGACAAGAAAGGATGTTTAAGAGAATCAGCATTAATGAAGCACTTTTTGTTGTCAGGCTTCTTAATGCACCATTGTCTCATTTCTAAATAACAACACAAGGAGGGGAAGCAAGAGTTTTATTTAATTATGCCACATTGTCCTGTCTGATCCTCTTCAAAGTTCTGTGAGGAAGGCGCCACTGATACTCTTTTAAATATGAGTTAAAGGAAGTGGGAACCAGCCCTAGGCCATTTATGGAGGTCAATGAAGTTCCAGTTTAAATGCTGCTGTGCTTGCCCCAGAGCCGTGTCCCTCCTGGGGTTAGAACCTCAGCTTCCATCGGTTCCAGAGTTGGGGTATCAGAGAGGTGGTAGCTGGTAAAAACCAGTGGTCCTAGTCTTTGGGCTTGTCTGTGTGTGGAGCATAACTACAGGGACTTGAGCTGTGTCACTAAGGACCCTTCTTTCTAACGCTGTGGCCTCATGCAGTGATTTGTTAATACAGGTCTTGTGTCCTGATTCACACCAGTCGGGAGTCTTGAGCTGTTGGGGGAGTCTGAGGAGGACACCTGGCTACCCTGTGACTGGAGCTGACTTTTAAGAGGGACCCTGAGGTATGAAAGGAGATTTGCTGGTAGGGTTAGGACCAGAGGATTTGAGGAGTCCTCAAGGTCCCCTGGTGATTAGACTTTTTAAAATTTATTTATTATTTATTTCAAAGGAAGAAAGAAATATTTCATGTGTTAGTTTACTTCCCTAATGCCCACAAGAGCTGGAAAGGTATGTAAAGCCAGGATCTGGGAACTCAATCCAAGTCTCCCATGTGAGTGGCTTGGATGTAAGTACTTGAGCCATCACCTGCTGCCTCCCAGGTTGGAGTAGTATGAAGCTGGATTCAGGACTTCAGCCAGGACTTGATCCTGGGCACTCTAACATGGGCTGTGGGGATTGCAGTAGAGGCTTAGTCGCTATACCATTAGTCTTCAGTTCCTTCCTTCAAAGTGTGGCTGGCTACTTGGGAGGGGTTTACCTCACCACTGCTACCTGGGCCTGCTGCACAATTTTGTGAGCACCTTGTTCCTAAGGCAGCGGTAAAATGCCACTAAAGATACTAAAACATAAAGCTCTTTCCTTTCTTCCATGTATCCCCTTGGCTCAGACTCATGTTCTTTTGACTTGCTTACAAAACACAAGTTCAAAGATAAAATTTTGAGGCTTTTTAAGACACAACCAGCGGAGGTTTAAACCCAGTGCAGGCCCTTCTGAGTGCCAGCCCTGTGTGACTGTTCCAATGTGACTGTGTAGGCTGCACGCCCATGAGGTTAGCCCTGGCTGCTGAGTATAACCCATTGGCTTTAACTAGTCTGGGTCTAATCATATGACACTCCAGGGAACCTGGACAGACTTGATGTCTTATTAAGTCAGCTCCCTGAGGATTGTGTGGACTAGCTAGTGATACTGTCTTATGATCCAGCTCCTCGTTTTCTTAGCAACCTCTTCTCCAGCTAGGGCTGGTATCTTTTTCCAGTGTAAGACTCCTCATCCCTGGCCTTGAGCACTGAGAGGAACTGGAATGCTGCTGTGTGGCAGAGACCTCCTGCAGGTTCTCTGAGCATTCTGAGTCCCCACGACTCCGCTTAGTGTTTCTATGGTACCACACTGTCAGAACTGTGTTCGCAAATGAGGCAGGGGACAGTCTGTCCCTGCTGTATTCCTGTTCTGAACCTGGCAATCAAGGTCCACACAAGGCCGATGATAGAAATGTTGCATCCAGGCTGGTGCCGTGGCTCACTTGGCTAATCCTCGCCTGCGGCGCTGGCACCCCGGGTTCTAGTCCCGGTTGGGGTGCTGGATTTTGTCCTGGTTGCTGCTCTTCCAGTCTAGCTCTGTGCTGTGATGTGAAAAGGCAGTGGAGGATGGCCCAGGTGTTTGGGCCCCTGCAGCTGCATGGGAGACCAGGAGGAAGCACCTGGCTCCTGGCTTCGGATCGGCGCAGCATGCCAGCCATAATGTCCATTTGGGAATTTGGGAGGTGAACTTATGGAAAAGGAAGACCTTTCTCTCTCTCTCTAACTCTGCCTCTCAAAAAAAAAAAAAAAAAAAAAGAAATGTTGCATCCAGAACAGCCCCCTTATAACTAAGATCACCTCAAGAGCCCCACAAATGGATCTTGGACCAGAATTCAGGACTTTATGTGCAACTTGAACACTTCCTGCCTTGGGAAGTTCACTGCCCCCACCCCCAGGACATGTTCTTAGCTGCTTGGTCCTTGGTGTAGAGGCTATGGCCTCTGGAAATGTTGTACTGATTTGACTTCTGAGTGTCCAGATGCCAGAAAACATGTAACGGAGTTCCTCGGATCTGTGTGACCACTTGGATATCCAACTGTGATTGCAGACACCCATGGTGGACTTTTGAGTGCTGCCTCACGTTGGAGCTGAGTGCTTCCTGCTGGGACCGCGTGATCTTCCTGGGATGCCAGGGTGGCACAGCAACCCATGGTGCTCTGGATGCTCTTGCTGAATCTGTGTGTAGCTTAGAAGGTAAAACTGTGTTTTCACTAGGATGGAGCAGAGTCTCAGAAGGACAAGGAGATGGTCCTATAAGATATTGATGCTGGGGCCGGCGCTGTGGCACAGCAGGATAAAGTGTTGGCCTGCAGTACTGGCATCCCATATGGGTGCTGCTTCATGTCCCAGCTGCTCCACTTCGGAGCCAGCTCTCTGCTAAGCCTTGGGGAAGCAGTAGAAGATGGCCTGAGTCCTTGGGGCTCTGCACCTGTGTGAGAGACCCAGAAGAAGATTCTAGCTCCTGGCTTTGGATCAGCTCAGCACTGGCCATTGCAGTCATGGGGAGTGAACCAGCTGTTGGAGGACCTCTCTCTCTCTTTGTCTCTCTCTGGCTCTACCTCTCTCTCTAACTTTTTCAAATAAAATAAATCTTTAAAAAAAACTTAATGATAATGTGTGCATTTGATCTAACTTGGAAAGGAAATTTCATTCCTCTGCTTCAAGTCAGCTTGCAATTCAGGAAGGGCAGCATTTTTGTGAATTTAGAGAATCTTTAGGCTTCTTGCTTCTTCTCTGCTAGCCTCTCCCTTGTAAATTATCATGTAGCATCATTCTTTGCTCTGGTAGGATCCATATTTTTTAAATTTATTTGACAGATAGAGTTAGACAGGGAAAGAGAGAGAGAAAGAGAAAGATCTTCCTTCCATTGCTTCACCCCCCAAATGGCCACCATGGCCTGAGCTATGCCAGTCCAAAGCCAGGAACCAGGTGCTTCCTCCAGGTCTCCCACGTGGGTGCAGGCGCCCAAGGACTTGGGCCATCCTCCACTGCCTTCCCGGGCCACAGCAGAGAGCTGGAACCAAAGAGGAGCAGCCGGGTCTAGAGCCTGGTGCCCATTTGGGATGCTGGTGCTGCAGGTGGAGAATCAGCCAAGTGAGCCACGGCACCGGCCCCCGGATTCACTTTTTTTTTTTTTTGACAGGCAGAATGAACTGTGAGAGAGAGAGACAGAAAGAAAGGTCTTCCTTTTGCCGTTGGTTCACCCTCCAATGGCCGGTGCGCTGCAGCCGGCACACCGCACTGATCCGAAGCCAGGAGCCAGGTGCTTCTCCTGGTCTCCCATGGGGTACAGGGCCCAAGGACTTGGCCCATCCTCCACTGCACTCCCGGGCCACAGCAGAGAGCTGGCCTGGGAGAGGGGCAACTGGGACAGAATCCAGTGCCCCGACTGGGACTAGAACCCGGTGTGCCGGCATCACAAGGCAGAGGATTAGCCTAGTGAGCCGTGGCGCCGGCCTGGATTCATTTTTAAAACCGTCTTTTTTCTCTTCTGTATGAGAATACTTCAGAAAGTTAATGGAAAAAGGAATGAAAAGATAACTTTATTTTGGTGTAAAATTTTTTAAACCCACGCACATTTCTTTGAACATTTTCTCTGTAATGTTTGGAGATCCCTCGTTTATGATAACAAGTCTTGGCAAATTTTTTGTCATTGTCTTGTTTCTTTAGTTATTAGGAATAAATTATTTTGTTAGGATGAACTTAGCCTATTTGAATTAGTGTTGGATCTCATTTGCTGTGAAATAAAGAATTACTTTATGGATAATGAAAGCAATTTAATGATGTGGTGTAAAGGAGCAAACAATATTACTCAGTCTATTAACATCAGGAGACTTCTCTCTGACCTCTTAACAGTGCCCTGCAAACTGTATATTATTGCACTCTTGAGGCAGGGGCTGAAGTCTGGCCTGAAGGTATTTTAGAGAATGCTCCAGGTGGAAAAGTCATAAAAAAGGCAGAGAAATATTCGTAGCAATAAATGCGAAGGCAGAAGAGACTTCTAGAATTGAAGTGACCACAAGGATTGCTGGGATTTTTTGAGCAGTACAGACTAGGTTGTCTGTACTGGGCTCCCGATACAATCACTACAGCCTTGTGAAATTAAAAACTCTATGAAGTTCTACAGAATGGTGTTTGAGACTCACTAATAGGATTCAACCTACAAGGAATGCAGATGAGACAGAGCATCTCTGACCTTAACAGTGGCGGTCTTTACTTTCGCTTTATATTGCTATAGCAACTTTAAAATGCCTTCTGTTTAAAAACCTGAGGAAATGTATGTGAAAAGTCTTTTTGGCAATCTTTTGTTATCAGTAAATTCACCATCTTAAGTTTGTTATAACTTACTGAACCTGTGATACTAGGAACTTGATAGAACTTTGCAGCACTGGACTGCAATTTGCAGCTTGCTCAAAACTGAGGGAGTTGGAGCTTACCCAGCATAATTAGAAGTGTACCCTCTATTTGAAGCCTTGGCAAGAACCATAATTTAGGATTGTGGCTGTGTGGCACTGGTAGAACATGTTGTTCAGTCCTGAGTTTGGACACCTTGTTTGTATATGACAGAAAAACAGCTTTCAGAAACTTCCTGGTGGATAAAGTATCCTTTTCACAGTCTGGTGGTTTCACTGCTTTTTTTCTAAATGTTTCATTTTCTCTTCAAGTGCAGGCATGTTCATTTTATCAAAGCAGGCATTTTCTCTTCTTTAAAAATAAATCTTGAGTATTCTGAAGAAATTTTCCAAACCGCTAGGGTATATAAAAGCATGTTGTGTGAGCATAATTACAAGGATGGAATGCTTTGCTTTTGAGTAGCAATGGACCAACACTTGGTGTGCTAAGAAACAGTTTTTATTCTATTTTGTGGTTGAAAGCTTGCTTACTACTGCTCCTGATCATAATCTTAGTCCTTTTTGTCAAATGGATTTAGAGCCCACAGCACCTTTTTATCCACCTTCTCTCTGAAAAGCAGTGGGAGAGAGAGCAAATTTTTTAGATTCATTTATTTATTTGTGAGGTAGAGTTACAGACAGAGACAGAGGTCTTCCATCCACTGGTTCACTCCGTAAATGGTTGCAATGGCCAGAGCTGAACCGATTCAAAAGCTGGAGCCAGGAGCTTCTTCGAGGTCCCCTGCATGGTTTCAGGGGCCCAAGAATTAGGCTATCTTCTGCTGCTTTCCCAGGCCATACGTTTCACTTTTAATTCTTCCTATGGCTTTAATTTAGCTACCTGGGAACCCTGAGCTGAGGATAGGACGAGTGTTCCCAGCCTCATTTTATGGGTCAGCAATAAATAAAGCCTGAAATAGTGGCTGCATTTGTCCATCTGGAACTTGATACCAAAGCCCAGAATTTTAGTTTTATAAATATTGATGATTTTTGGCTCCAGAATTTAAAAGAAGTTCAGCATCTTTACTTTTTGTTATTCTGAATGTGATTTACTTGTCCCTAAAGTGTGCACATTACAAAATTTATGATTTAGAAAGTGGAAATTGAAAAAAAGAAAATGGAAGTTACCCCTCAGCTCTGTTTGGAGATGTCCGAAGCACTGGTGACAGTTTGATGTGTCCTCTTCCAGGTGCTTTCCGCACCTTAATAAAAGTGTGTGTGTGGGGGGGTGGGTGGGTATGGTTGGGTGTATTTGTGTGTGTACTGTGCTCACATGCACATAGAAATGACTTTGTGCAGAACTGTGTTCTTGATAGGATGGTTTTCCATCTTCCTTTTTATACTTGACAGTATAGTAATTCTTGTATCATTATAAATATATAGATCTCATTCTCTTCAGTGACTGTATAAGATTACATTTTATTCCAATATAAGTGGTTGCCATTTTGTGTGATAATTCTGATTTTTTTGCCATTAAAATAATGCTGCACTGAGAAACCTGGAATATCCATACCTGAGCATCCCAGGAACTGCTGTTTTGATGACCTGTGTTATTTGAGAATCACTAGGTCAAGTACAGTCCTGTTTAAAATGTTGCTAGGTCCTTCTAAATTATCCTCCAGGGTTGCATCCATCTAGACTTCCACAAACAGTGAGGTAATCTCCTGTGCTTTCCATCAACACCAGGTTTTTATAATTCACATTCCTTTCAGTGAAGCATCTCTGCTTCAACACAAGACAAGAGCTGCCCTTTCATCACTCCCTGTTGGCACACCAAGGGCAGGTGGTGTAGAGGAGTCCGTTATAGCTAGCAGGGAGGTGAGCATATGTTAAGCTAGAAACAGAGGTGTTTGGCTTTCATTCCTGTTTATTAATTCAGATAATGTTTCTTGAAGGCTGTTACTGGCCATGGACCCTGGGAATAGCATGATAAACAAGACCATGCTCTGCCTTCAAGAGCTTGCATTCTAGTGTGGGTCAGCCTTGAACACATCCAGTAGAATATAATGTCAAGTATGGTGAAGACTTCAGATGAAAAATAAAGCAGAGAAAAGGACAAGGGAGGAGGTGTGTGTGGGGAGACCAGGTGCAAGAGAGGATGCCACTCGGATGGTCTTGGAAGGTTCTCTGCTGATGGGACTCTTTTTTCTATATATTTTATTTAATGAACATAAATTTCCAAAGTACAGCTTATGGATTACAATAGCTTCCCCCCCCATAACTTCCCTCCCACCCACAACACTCCCCTCTCCCACTCCCTCTCCCCTTCCATTCACATCAAGATTAATTTTCAATTATCTTTATATTAAGTATATTAAGTAAAGATCTTTATATTAAGTAAAAATTTCCACAGTTTACACTCACACAGAAACACAAAGTGTAAAATACTATTTGAGTACTAGTTATAGCATTAATTAAACACCTAAGAGTAATTGTGTATTAATTACAGAGTTCAACCAATAGTTTTAAGTAGAACATAAAAATACTAAAAGGGTAAAGTATTAAGTTTTTTTCTTTTTTTTGTTATATAGTTATTTTTTTATTTAATAAATGTGAATTTACAAAGTGCAAGTTGTCTATTGTTGTGGCTTCCCCCCCCAAACCTCCCTCTCTCCCGTGGCCCTCCCCTCTCCCACTCCCTCTCCCATCCTGCCCTTCATCCTGATGGGACTCTTGAATAGAGACCCACGTGCAGTGAAACCTGAGCCCCACTGATAACCTGTAGAAGGCCCCATCAAGCTGGGTCTGGCAATAGCAAGTTCAGAAGGCCTGAGAAAAAAGCCAGTCAGGCAGGTTCCAGAAGAAGCCCCGGAGCTGCACTGACTTTTGATTTGCTAGAGGGAGATAATTGAGCTACTTAATTTCTTTATCAAATGCCGTGTTGAGGCAAATGAAACTGTGAACCGCATGTGTGTGTCTTTGAAAGAGTGATGCTGTTCATGTACGGTAGCACTTGAACCACTAGAATGCAGCATCTTAACCACTAGACAGCAAGTCTCTGTTAGCATTCTGTAGAATGAAGTGGCATTGCATGCCAGCTCTTTCACTACCAGAAGGCTGACCTGGTTGAAATTTACACAGGAGTTGAACAGACCTCCGCACCTTCAGTGTGGATAAGACTAGAGCAGTGCACTCTTGTGCCTGACTGCCCTTTGTTCTGCCTCTTTGTGTTGTACATTATTAAAAGTGTTTTCAAAGCTCTGGTGCTCACAGCTGAAAATAAAGTAGTAGGTTGGAGGACAGTCACAGACAGCACTGTCCACTCAGCAGGTCAGGTAGTTTCTCCTTAACCATTGTACCAAATGCCCTACTCCACCCATTATTAACTCTAGTCCTTTCAGAGTTATTAGCTGTGTTATAAAATGTCTAACTTTCAGAGGGGTTTTGTAAATCTTTAAAGTAAAAAATATGAACATTTGTTGCCACCGTTGTGGCTTAGCTGGTAAAGCTGCCGCCCGTGATATCAGCATCCCACATGGGCACTGAATCAGAGTCCTAGCTACACTTCCAATCCAGCTGTCTGCTAATGCACTTGGGAGGGCAGCACAAGATAGCCCAAGTGCTTGGGCTCCTGCGCCCATGCTCCTGTCTCCTGGCTTCGTTCTGGCACAGCCCTGGCCGTTGTGGCCATTTGGTGAATGAACTAGTGTATGGAAGACATCTCTCTCTCTCTCTCTCTCTCTCTCTCTCTCTCTCTCTCTCTCTCTTCCTCCCTTCCTCCCTCCCTCCTTCCCTCTCGTTCTGTAACTCCACCTTTAAAATAAATGAAATGTTTTTAATAAAGAACCTTTAACCATTCAAAGCCTCAAGTAGAAAGAAAAAGAACCTTACAGACCCACAGTACAAACTGACGTAAAACCTTCACTGAAATTTTTGTTGAAGTTTGCTGGTAGTGTTCATCAGAAATGACACATGCTGACTTGTATGAAGTGAGCTGATTGATATTCTTGAAACTGTGTAAAAATCACTTCTGCTTGTTTTTACACAATGTACCTGTTACACTCCTGAGCTACTCGAGAGCTGTTGGGTAGAGATGTTATTACTGAAAAAGTGGTCACACTGCACAGATCCCATGGGCACCATTACACTCTGTGACTGGCACTTCCAGGGCTAGTGCTGTGCACACCTGGGAAGCCTTACCCACAGGTGGTGTCGTATCCGCACAATGGCTGCATGATGGTTCTCTCTTCATTTAAATGGTTGGTAGGGTTCCATTAGCACACAGTCCTTCAAGTTGTGACTTTTCAATATTGCTCACTCACATGGTTTTGAGTCCCCTTGGGGGGGAACAGTTGCGGCCCTGAGGGGTTGCCCACTTTTCTAGAGACAAGGACAGGCCTAACCTTGCCTCCTGGAACTTTCTCTGAGTTACAAACCTCTTAGAGTTATGATACAACCTTGAAATTTTGTATTTAATGGTGTATCTTTAAGCAGAGGTATCTTATAAGCATAGTGCAGCAATCATAGACTTATTTTTATTCTTTTTTTTATTAAGGAGGAGGGAGTAAAGCATTGTTGGTCGGTGCACATGGTGCTTAATGTGGAATCTGGAGGTGGAGATGGTGTTTTCTTACTTATATAGTTTATGATTTCCAACTATCTCCAAGAGGTAAATACTAGAATTAGGTCTAGGCTGTGGTTCTAGCTGGTATGGTTCTGTTTTAAATTTCATCTCACATCTGCTTGGCATCAAGATTTCCAGCTTTCCAAGGTTGGCCACACATTTAAAGCAAGTGTCCAAACCAGTTGTTAGAAGAAAAGATACAGCAGTGGTAACGATGATGCTAAATGAATCATTTGTGTGATATCTGACACCTCATCACCTAGTTGAAATATCTATGTGTTTTCTTTTTTACTGCAATAAAAATAATTCAGACTTACCGAAACTGTATATTTCCATTCCTTGCACATCTATTTTCTGACTCATTGGGCTTCTAAAATTCTGTGGATAGGGGCTAGTGTTATGGTACAGTGGGTTAAGCCACCACCTGTAATGCCAACATCCCATACTTGTTTTCTTTCTGTAATCAAGTAGTTGAAAAACAACCACCACGCCCAATGCAGGAGTCATATAAAAGCAATTTCACTTTATTTGAGCACTCTAAGGAGAAAAAGCAGATGAGTATGTACTATACCTAGAGAGAAAAACTCTGTCAAATTTTAGATTGAATGGTGGGCCAGTGCCGCGGCTCAATAGGCTAATCCTCTGCCTTATGCTGCTGGCACACCGGGTTCTAGTCCCGGTCAGAGCGCCGGATTCTGTCCCAGTTGCCCCTCTTCCAGGCCAGCCCTCTGCTATGGCCCAGGAGTGCAGTGGAAGATGGGCCAAGTCCTTGGGCCCTGCACCCTCATGGGAGACCAGGAGAAGCACCTGGCTCCTGGCTTCGGATCAGTGCAATGTGCCGGCTGCAGTGCACCGGCCGCGGCAGCCATTGGAGGGTGAACCAACGGCACAAGGAAGACCTTTCTTTCTGTCTCTCTCTCTCACTGTCCACTCTGTCAAAAATAAAAAAAATAAAAAAAATAGATCGAATGGTGGAATAAATTCCGTGACAGAAGTGAAAGAAACAATCAACTTGTGGCCCCACTACACTGGAGCCTGGCCTCACTGCCTACTTGGTACAGACAGCAGGAGCTCAGGAGAAGCCTGGAGCCACACCCTCTGTGCAAGCCTGCACAGGCTTGGTCTTTGTTTTCTGATTGGTTGGAGCCTGGAGGTAATCCAATCAGACTTGATGTATGCCGTTGAATACCGAGTTTATAAAAAGGTTACTCAGTGTTGCTGTTTCCCTTTTCTCTTCTTTGTGTCCAGCGTCATGGAGCTCTTCATTGGAACATGTGCTAAGCCCTGGCTCTAAGAACAAGGAGGTGAGCAGCCAAGAGCAATACTTGCAGGAAGGGCCAGGCTGCCAGTGTCAGAGGAGTGGCAGTAGATTCAACAGGACCCTCAGGTTTGTCCATCCTCACCTGGTGAGTCTTCTTGAAATGCTTGTGCATATAATTCATATACTTCTATATTATAAATTTAATATCATATGTTCTAAATAGATTTTAAATTTTATATTTAAAACATATATGTGCTTGGAGGTATCATGTACAGTTCCAGGAGGTGTGAGCCTACCTGGCTAAATTCTGATGCCAGGATAGGTGAACCAGCAGGTGAGTCATCTTCTTTTGGGTAGGCAATTTAGATGCCCAGCAACTATGTGAATTTCCAGGTCTCTTGTTTTATTTTCTGGATTTATAGTTCTACTTAGTGTATAGGAGCTGAGAAAATGGATCTGGTCACCAAAACGGTAGTTCCTGCTTGCAAGATTTGCTTCCTGTTTTTCCTAATTTGCTTAGATGGTTTATCTCAGTTTTCATTAAGGGTTCTCCAACACAGCAGTGATAGCATTGAGTGATAACCCCAAAAAGATGGTTGTATATTGTTGTCACTGCCCCACTGAATTCTAATTCTGCCTCTGTGATATCCAGTGTTCCCTAATTTTATGAAAAAGTTCCTGAGGAATACATTGTTCTGTTGTGTTAATGAATATGGTTATATGGGGAGACATATCATGTAAAATTTACATATCCCAATCATATTATTGCATTAACTAGGCATATGGGGACTCTGTTTATCATCAGAGGCACCTAGATCCGAGGATGGCACCGAAATTTCTAGTAGTAAGCATTACTTCCTAAGTATATTCGTTTCAGTTATAAAACTGTAAGGTTCTGAATAACTCAGTAGAGGTTCTTTTTACTTCTAAATTAGATTTTGAAATATTGAAATCATTTGGATTATGATATTTCTAGACCATTTTTAGGTCTGAGAAGGCAGGGGCATTGTTTCTGCACAGTATCCACAATGGTTGCCATATAATTGGTTCTAAAACTTCAGTTGATGAAATGAAATCCCTATTTGTCCCTGTGTTTCAAACAACACAAAATTTCAAAATCTGTAGGTATTGTGTTCTGTGGTTTGGTTCTTACAGTATGTGGTGAATTAAGTCTTCCTTCCTTCTGGTTAGCAGTTACTAGTGTTGACACCCAGGGATCATTCCTTGATCCTCATTGTATGAGATGCTGACCAGTGACTACTCTGAAACAGCCCCTTGGTGCAAGTCCTCATGGATGTTCCAGTTTACTCAGTATCCGCTCTTGGTGTTCCTGTTAGTGCTGATTGTTCAAATCTAGAAGTTGAAATGACCTCATGTTAAGTCCAGGTGTTTGTTCTCACTGGTCTTCCCATCCTAGACAGCCTTATCTCTGTACTGTGTTTCAGGAAGGTCTTGGCTTTTACTCCCATCATTAGCTAGACCTGTTAATATTGCCCACAGTTTTCTCGTTTTGGCTATTTTAGAGCTTGGTTCCTTGATTCCATAATTCTTTTCTCTTACACACAACACAACAAGAAAAATCTGTTCTTTTGTTTTCTCATGCTCCCCATCCACAGATGTTCTCTGATAACAGTCACCAGGCATCTCAAAGGCTGGCTGGTCCCTACACCCTTCTCAAAGCCACATGAATATGTGATTCTTTTGCTTTTCACTTTTATGTCTCAATTCTGTCACGTTTTCCACACCTCTGCTCCTGTGACCACCATAAAACTTTAGCATTTCCCACAAAAATCCTCGGCTAGCAATTTCTAATGTACTACTAATAAGAAGTTAAAATATAGAAACTTTCTGGGGAGATTCCAAAATTCGAGTGGTTTATGCCAAACATCTTAAGATGCTTTTCCTCTGTTTAATGAAAGTCATATCTCTGGGGGTAAACTAGATGGAGAGTTTGCTGCAAACAATGCCTTTGTTTCACCTTTATACAATTTTGTTTGTGAGTTATGTAGGCCTCAATAATTATGAATGGAAAAACTGAAACTGTGACTTGCAGTTCAATATTGCAAATATTATAAAGCTTTCTACTGAAGTGCTGTAGTGAGAGAACAGGCATGGAGTCCAGGAAATCCTTCAATGAATTGGTATATGTGTAGTTTTCAGAGTGCTGCTTTCAAAGACATTTAAACTTTGTAAACATTTTCTTACATATGACTTTAAATTTAAAATTGCTGCTTCAACAGACACTATGTGATTGGTAACCCCTCCTACACTAATGAATCACCTTGCTTGATTTCCCCACCTGATTACTGTGGAAGATGACATGTGAGTGTCAAATGGGGAAAGAAAGGTTTTTTAAGATTTATTTAACTATTTGAAAGACAGAGATATAGAGAGGCAGGGGCAGAGAGAGAGTCTGCTGGGTCACTCCCCGTAGGGCCACAATTGCCAGAGCTGAGCTGATATGTAGCCAGGAGCCTGGAGCTTCTTCTGGGTCTCTCACGTGGGTGCAGGGGCCCAAGCACTTGGGCCATCTTCCACTTTCCTAGGCCATATCAGAGAGCTGGATCGGAAGTGGAGCAGTGGGGACTCAAACCAGTGCTCTTATGAGATGCCGGCACTGCAGGCAGAAGCTTTTCCTGCTATGCCGCAGTGCCGTCCCCAAGAAATATTCTTGTGGTAGACTAATGTTCATGGTGTATAGCCCTCTGCTCTGTGCAGGTAGAATTTGAGTAATTCTTGGCAGACCCCTAAATTTTGGAGGTACATAGGGATACCATGATCAGTGTAATGGGATCCACAGTTTTCCAGAGAAATACTTCATGATATCTGCTGGGGTCCTGCCATTTATGAAAATGGGTTCTAAAGCAACCTGATCGGTGAAGACATTGCCACCTATTGATCCAGTGAAGCAAGTCCAGTGTGAGCACCCCTGACCCTGGCAGAGGCTCCACCCCTGGTGACTAAGATGCTGTAGGCCTGTGCTGCTACTCATTCCATGGGGAAGGCCCTGCCATACTGCTGTGAGCATCCTGGGTTAATATTTTGGTATTGCCATGTTTTGGTTTGTTCTTCAACTTAAATACATGGTATCTCCATTTGGTTTGTATATTTCCTCTTGCAGTTTTCACAGCTAAATTTCTTTTTTTAATAATTTTTATTTATATAAAGGTGAACATAGAGCATGTACTTGGCACCTTTCCCTCCTCTCCCTAGCATCCTGCCCTCCTTCCTCCTTCCTTTCTTGTGATTACAAAATAAACTACAAGAATTTCATTGTGAAAATTATAGGAAAGTGTAAATTCTAAACCTTGACAGAACTAACTCCATAATGTGTAGCTCCTAGTAGGAACTGAAAATTGATTGTGTTGTTTAAAAATTGTCATGCATTTCAATATGGAAACCCTAGGAATTTAGATTGAGTTTAGGTGAGAAACTACCATGGTGCCTCCCCAAACGTGTGTTCTCTATACATAATGTGCCCACAACCAAGTGTTGCTTTGAACCAAGGGCCATAGTGGTCACCAGTGATGGGAAATGGAAGGCTTTTTAGGGCAGTGAGCCTGAGGACTGTGACCAAGACCTGTCCCATTTAGTCAGTGAGAACTCAGACTGTGCACTTGCCCCATCTTCCTATCAGACTTCATTTACAGGATACAAATTCAAGTTAAATCCAGTAGGAATTTGGATAGCAGGGAGTGTACTCTTTAGAGTTTGGTACAGTTGCAGTGTCACTGGTCACATGCTGATGAAGCAGGGCCTGCATTTTCAGTTCCATAGCTTAATTGGGGAATTCTCAACCTGCCTGTAATATGTAACTGTGTTACATGCACATAGGAATGTACACACCTGGGTGGTAGAATAACATATAGTAATTTATAGTTCTCATTTCACTTTTCACTTTCCTATTTCCTTCAGATACACTTCCTTTCCTTTTCTATTTCTGAGTTTTCAGTTTGAGGGAGGTGAGATGGCAGTGTAATATGTTACTTGGATATTGTCTTAAATATTCTCTTGATAGAAATCCTGAATCTTTATTTTCAAAATAGAAACTGCCTGAAATTTAGTTTAGTCCTGTTGAAATCTTTACTTAATGTATACTAAGCTGATCTTCTGTATATTAAGATAATCGAAAATGAATCTTGATGTGAATGGAAGGGGAGAGGGAGTGGGAAAGGGGAGGGTTGCGGGTGGGAGGGACGTTATGGGGGGGAAGCCATTGTAATCCATAAGTCGTACTTTTGAAATTATATTCATCAAATAAAAAAATTAGTTTAGTCAAGTTCATGAATAATTTCTTAAGATTTATTTAATTGAAAGTCCGAGTTACACAGAGAGTGAAAGAGAGGCGGAGAGAGAGGTCTTCTATCTGCTGGATCACACCCCAGATGGTGGCAATGTCCAGAACTGCGCTGATCTGAAGCCAGGAACCAGGAGCTTCTTTCAGGTCTGCCACGTGGGTGCAAGGGCCCAAGGACTTGGACCATCCTTTACTGCTTTCTGAAGCTGTAGCAGAGAGCTGGATCAGAAATGGAGCAACTGGGACTGGAACTGGTCCCCATATGGGATGCTGGCATTGCATTTGTTGGCCTCACCTGCTATGCCAAAATGCCAGCCCATATCATGAATTATCTACTTTTTTTTTTCTTTTTTTTAACTTTTATTTAATGAATATAAATTTCCAAAGTATAGCTTTTGGATTACAATGGCTTCCCCCCATAATGTCCCTCCCACCCTCTACCCTCCCCTTTCCCACTCCCTCTCCCCTTCCATTCACATCAAGATTTATTTTTGATTCTCTTTATATACAGAAGATCAGTTTAGCATACATTAAGTAAAGATTTCAACAGTTTGCTCCCACACAGAAACATAAAGTGAAAAATATTGTTTGAGTACTAGTTATAGCATTAAATCTCAATGTACAGCACACTAATGACAGAGATCCTACATGAGGAGTAAGTGCACAGTGACTCCTGTTGTTGACTTAACAAATTGACACGCTTGTTTATGGCCTCAGTAATCACCCTAGGCTCTTGTCATGAGCTGCCAAGGCTATGGAAGCCCCCTGAGTTCACCGACTGTGATCATATTTAGACAAGGCCATGGTCAAAGTGGAAGTTCTCTCCTCCCTTCAGAGAAAGGTACCTCCTTCTTTGATGACACGTTCTTTCCACTGGGATCTCACTCGCGGAGATCTTTCATTTAGGTTTTTTTTTTTTTTTTTTCCCCCAGAGTGTCTTGGCTTTCCATGCCTGAAATACTCTCATGGGCTTTTCACCTGGATCCACATGCCTTAAGGGCTGATTCTGAGGCCAGAGTGCTGTTTAGGACATCTGCCATTCTATGAGTCTGCTGTGTATCTCACTTCCCATGTTGGATCATTCTCTCCCTTTTTGATTCTATCAGCTAGTATTTGCAGACACTATTCTTGTTTATGTGATCCCTTTGGTTCTTATTCCTATCATTATGATCAATTGTGAACAGAAATTGATCACTGGGACTAGTGAGATGGCCTTGGTACATGCCACCTCGATGGGATTGAATTGGAATCCCCTGGTATGTTTCTAACTCTACCATTTGAGGTAAGTCAGCTTGAGCATGTCCTGAATTGCACATCTCTTCCCTCTCTTATTCCCACTCTTATATTTAACAGTGATCACTTTTCAGTTAAGTTTTAGCACTTAAGAATAATTGTGTATTGATTACAGTATTCAACCAAAAGTATTAAGTAGAACAAACAAAAAAAATACTAAGAGGGATAACATATTAAGTTGCTCATCAACAGTCAGCGTGAGGGCTGATCAAGTCATCGTTTCTCATAGTGTTCATTTCACTTTAACAGGTTTCCTTTTTGGTGTTCAGTTAGTTGTCACCTATCAAGGAGAACAAGTGGTATTTGCCCCTTTGGGATTGGCTTATTTCACTCAACATAATGTTTTCCAAATTCCTAACAGGGATCACTTTTCAGTTAAAATTTAAACACCTAAGAATAATTGTGTGTTAATTACAGAGTTCAACCAATGGTACTAGAACAAAAAAAATACTAAAACCGATAAAGTATTACATTGTACATCAACTGTCAGTACAAGAGCTGATCAAGTCACTGTTTCTCATAGTGTCCATTTCACTTCAACAAGTTTCCCCTTTTGTGCTCAGTTAGTTGTCGCCGATCAGTGAGAACATATGATACTTGTCCCTTTGGGACTGGTTTAATTCACTCAGCATGATGTTTTCCAAATTCCTCCATCTTGTTGCAAATGATTGGGTTTCGTTGTTTTTGACTGCTGTATAGTATAGTCTACGGCCATACCATCCTGAACGCACCCGATCTCGTCTGATCATGAATGTTTTAAAAATCATTTCTAGCCCATGAAGCCTACCAAAACCCCACAATATTAACCTAAGTTTTTAAATTTTTATTTGCATTTTAAGTATAGGAATCTATTTTTGCATGCGTTATTTTCTAGCCTTATAACAGTATAAGTGAGAAACAAAAATTGTATATATTCAAGGCACACAATATGTGTTTCTATATGAGTCTGATCTATATATTGCGTTTTCACACAAACCTTTCGACTCTCCTGGTTCTTACAATACAGTATGAAAGGATTAGTACAGTGAAGCTACTTAACAAATTTATCACTCTTACTGTATTTCTTAAACTTATCTCATTTTATTTATGTATTTTCCCAGAAAGCTTTTTTTAAGGTACACGTATTTTATGCATTCAATAAATACATCTTTAGCAGCATAGTAATTCTTCCTACCATATCTGCCCTCTCACTTACACTCCTATCATTTTCATAGTGTTTTTTTTAAGAATACTGACCTAGGAAATTACAAGTACAGAATATAGTGTGAACTGGTTACCTGGGGTATGTATTAGATTTTTAAAACTTAGCTCATAATTGTAAATTTGATTTTTGTAAGATTTATTTGAAAGGCAGGGGCCAGCGCTGTGGCTCACTTTGTTAATCCACTGCCTGCGACGCCGGCATCCCATATGGGCACCAGGTTCTAGTCCTGGTTGCTCCTCTTCCATTCCAGCTCTCTGCTGTGGCCCGGGAGGGCAGTGGAGGATGGCCCAAGTGCTTGGGCCCTGCAATCGCATGGGAGACCTGGAGGAAGCACCTGCCTCCTGGCTTTGGATCAGTGCAGCACCAGCTGTAGAGGCCATTTTGGGGGGTGAACCAATGGAAGGAAGACCTTTCTCTGTCTCTCTCTCTCCTGTCTATAACTCCACCTGTCACAAAAAAAATATAGAAAGGCAGGAAAGAGAGAAGAGAGTAAGACAGAGACAGAGAGAGAGGATGAGGGATATCTCATCTCATGCATTATTTCACTCCTCAAATGTCCTCAGTGGCAGGGCTGTCCCCAGGTCTCCCGCTTTGGCACAGGGGCCCAAGTTGTGGGGTCATCTTCTAGTGCTTTGCCAGGCACATTAGCAGGGAGGTGAATGGGAAGTGGAGCATCTGGGACTCGGTCTTGTGCCCATATGGGATGCTGGCAGTCCAGGTGGAAGCTCAGGCTTTTAAAAACACCCCAGCTCCAGCACCATAACCATGTATTTGTACCTTGTGACTAACATCTCTTCATTTTCATGCTTCCAGTTCATCACAAACACCATCCTGCTCCCTGTGTTAGTTTGACTTTTGTATATTCCACATGTAAGTGTGCTCATGTAGTATTTCTTATTTCTGTGTCTTGTTTCACTCATTGTAATGTCCTATAGTTCCATACTTTTGGATCCATCTTGTGACAAGTTAAAGTAGTATTCCCTTTCTTTTTAAGGTTGGCGAGGATTCCACTGTGTGTGTATCCCATTTTACCTTATGGGTCCATCAGCAAACATTTGGGTTATTTCCATATCATGGAATTGTGAATGATGCTGAAGTGAATGTGGGGGTGCAGACAGTTCTTTGAGATGGTGATTTTCTTTTGAATTCATGGCTATTAAAGGTTGTTCCTTTTTAAATTTCATTTGAGGAACTTCCATATTGCTTTTCATAGTGGACGGTACAATTTACATTCCCTCCAATACTGTGCTTTCTGTTTTATCTACATTTTGCCCAATACTTGTTATCTTTTAACTTTTTAATAGTAGCCATTTAACAGATATGAGGTGATAACCATTGTCATCTTGATTTGCATTATGCGGATGATAGCAATGTTCAGAACTTTTTCACATACCCACTGGGTACATTGTATGTCTTTGTTGGAAAACATTGATTCAGTCCTTTGTCCTTTTTTAATTGTGTTCTTTGCTTCTTAGTGGTATGCTTGTATTACTCCCTTGATCACACATCTGGTTTGCTAATATTTTCTCATATTCATTGGTTTGCCTTTCATTTCATTGATCTTTGCTTGACTGCTTTTTGTTGTAATTTCATTTCCTTATATTTGCTTTTGCTCTCTGTGCTTTAGTTGCTAACACATAAGCAACCACTCTTGAGGCTAATGTCAAGGACTTTTCTATTTTATAAGTTGTAAGTGTTCAGATCTTCTGTGTGGACTTGCAGTTCATTTTGAGTTGATTTTAATATGTGGTGTAACAATGATGCAGTTTCAGTTTTGGACATGTGGTTATCCAGGTTGCTTCTGCCTCAGATGTGGGCCTTTATGTCCAGTGACTGCATGTTTGGTAACCCTGATGGGCCAGGATTTCCCGTGTCTTCAGTTGGATCCATTAAACCAGATGCTGTGGCTGGAGTTGATCAGGAGCTTGGCATGTGTGGTGATTTGGGAGTAGAGACCATGCAGTGATGGGGTCAAGACAAGGGACTGTGGCCGCCTCCTCTGGAAGCCAGGGCTATATGAGGGTATGTCCGAAAGTTTTTTGAAGGGTAGACATTTGGCATAATGGGAAGGACAATGCTCAGGATACCAGTGGCAGCCAGTGATGGCTTAAGTAGTTGGATTCTTGCTACCACATTGGAGACCATCTCCCAGCTTCAGCCTGGGTCAGATCAGCCCTGAGTATTTTGGGCATTCAGGTAATGAACTACTAGATGGGTTGTGTCTTTATCTCTCTCTCTCTCTCTCTTCTTCTCTCTCTCTCTCCCTTCCTCCCACCTACCTCCCCCTCCCCCTTATTAATTCTCTGTTTTGCTTTTGAAACCAATTGCAATATTAAAAGTAGGTGGAAAATGGATATGGATGATTATCGCAGTAGCAGTAGATTACTGAGTAATTTCCTAGAACCATACAGGGGGATGTGTGCAGCTCACAGTGATCCATTATATTTGTTGTTAGAAAATGAAATAAAGGAGCTCAAGGCTCTGTCCATACAATAGTGTCGAACGATTAATGTAGACTTGGTCCGTACAAATTTTATATGAGTATTGAAATGTCACACTAGCCCATAAATATGTACCACTCTTGTTGATAACATTTAAGTAAAAATACCAATATGTTATTAGGTGTATAAAGTTAAGGGGTTTTAAATGATTAATGTCACAACTAATATTATGGTATTTGAAAATGGTTAATTAATGCAAGCAAAAACAGAACCTGTAGGTAACTGAACTGTTCTGTCTTGTCATGTTCAGTCTAAAGGCTACTATGCTGTGTTTTAAGTTGGTGATGGACATTTATTTGAGATTGTTTCCTTTAATTAAGAAAAATGGTAGTATGTTTTCATGTGTATGTGAAATTGAATAGCAATTGTATTGCAATTGAATGCAGTTGTATTGCATCAGAGCAATACAATGAATACAAGATAAGCTTTTTTTCATATTTGAGATTTTATTGGTTTTTGAGAATCACTACAGAGACATTTCAATTTGTACACTATTCTTAACAAGCCAAAAATTTTAAAAGTGAGGGTTGATCATTCTTTTTAAATCTTTTATTTTTGAAATAGTGTATTTTTTAATTTATCTCAGAAGAGCTTTATAGTCCACTCAATAAAGAGTTCAGCTAGTAAGGAAGAATATAGGCAAGGGCAATAACATTAATCAAACAAAAAAAGTCCTATCTTTATGATCAGTTATGAACTTAAACTGATCACTTTAACTAGTAAGATGGCATTAAGTGTCAAAGGGATCATATAAATAAGACCAAGTGTCTGCTAAAAACAATAGATAGAATGAAAAAGGAGAGAATGATCCAACATGGGAAACAGGCTACCCAGCAGACTCATAGAATGACAGATACCCTAAAGAGCACTCTGGCCTTGGAATCAGCCCTTAAAGCATTCAGATCTGGCTAAAAAGCCCATGAGAGCATTTCAGGCATGGAAAGCCAAGACACTTTGGCAAAAAAATCACTCACATGAAAGATCTCTAAGAGTGAGATCCCAGGGAAAGAAAGGGCCGCCAAAGAGGTCAGTACCTTTCTCTGAAGGGAGGAGGGAACTTCCACTTTGATTATGGCCTTGTCTAAATAATGTTGGAATTTGTGGACTCGAGGCTTCCATAGCCTTGGCAGCTCATGACCAAGAGCCTAGGGTGATCACTGATGTCAAATAGAAGAGTGTCAGCTGTTAAATCAACAACAGGTGTCACTGTGCACTTGCTCCCCATGTAGGACCTCTCTCCTTAATGTGTTGTACTATGAAAATTAACAATAAAACTAGTCTTCAAACAGTACTTTTAACTTTGTGTGTCTGTGTGGGTGCAGTCTGTTGAAATCTTTACTTAGTATAGAGTTGATAGTCTGTGTATAAAGATAATTAAAAATGAATCTCAATGAAGAATGGGTTGGAAGAAGGAATAGGAGTTGGGATGGTTTGCGGGTGGGAGGGCAGGTATGGGGGGGAAGACCTGCTATAATCCAAAAGTTGTACTTATGAAATTTTTATTTATTAAATCAAAGGTTTCTATAAGAATGTCTACTACAGTCATCACACAGTAAATTTTAAAATGAGCATGAATTATTAAAATTATAGTAGCATATCATTCATAACAATTTGACAAAGATATAAAAGAAAGTTTGACAAAACTATATTTGCAGCAATACTGATACACACAGGCATTAGTTTCTTTTCTGTTTTTCTTTTGTTGTTGTCTGATTTTTTTAAAAGAAAATTTTAGCTCCCATATATAAAGGAGAACATCTAATATTTGTCTTTCTTTGTCAGGGTCATTTCACTGAGCATGAAATCCTCCAGTTGCTACGATTTTGATGCTGATAACAGATTTTATTTTTTATAGTTCTGTAATATTCAGTTCTACATATATGCATCGAATTTTGCCAGCACCACTGATTGAATAGATTATACTTTTTTCCAGTGCATAGTTTGAGCAGTTTAATGGAAAATCAATTGGCTCTACCTGTATGGATTAATTAATTAATGAATTTCCACTATCATGCTTATATTTTAGGTTTATTTTCAATAAACCTAAGGTCATTCTATTCTTCAAAAGACTTAAACTTTTCCCAAATATGTATTTCAGAAGTGTTTTTCTAAGAATAAAATCTCAGATTGATGCTATTTTTGTATTTAAGGAATACAATGTACATGTGTGGTTATTGATGACAGAATAAATTAATAAATAAACTTAAAAAACAAGAACTCATGATTGGAATAGCCCATAGCCAAAAGATAAGAGAGCTTTTAGGAAGCCAAAACAAGAAAACAAACCTAGGAATCCAATAAGTGAAATGCCTGAATCAAGATTAAAAAAAATCCAAATATCCAATTACATGAATTCAAAATCTGAGTGAAGCCAAAAAGTAACAGACTAAAAGTTTAAAAAGCCAAAATAAAATCTACCACACAAAAAAGAAAAATAAAAAAGAGGAAGTAGCCTGATCTATAATAGTGGTTTGTAGCAACAGACCTTGATTTTTAGGGTATGTACCATCCAAATTCGGGCCAATGAAAAGTTGATCTAGCATTTCTGATTTTCAGAAAGGAACAATGGACGCAAACTCATTTTCAATAACCGTAAGACCTTCTGTTCTGTAGAAGCCTTAAATTTAACTTTTCCCATATACATATTTCAGAAGTGTAGGTGTGGGGGCCGGCACTGTGGTGTAGTAGGTAAAGCCAGCGCCTGCAGTGATGGCATCCCATGTGGGCACCAGTTCGAGTCCTGGCTGCTCCACTTCCAATCCAGCTCTCTGCTGTGGCCTGGGAAAACAGTATAAGATGGCCCAAGTCCTTGGGACCCTGTACCCATGAGAGAGACCTGGAAGAAGCTCCTGGCTCCTGGCTTCAGATCAGCTCAGCTCTAGCCATTGTGGCCAGGTGGGGAGTGAACTACTGAATGGAAGACCTCCCTCTCTCTTTCTGCCTCTGCTTCTCTCCATGTGTAACTCTAAAGTTTCAAATAAATACATAAATCTTAAAAAAAGAAGTGAGGTGTTCTCTATATTTTGATGAGAATAAAATGTCAAATATAGGGTGTATTTTTATATTTAAGGTATTCAATGTCACATTATCATGGTTGATGACAGAATAAATAAAGTAATAAAGTTAAAAAACAGGAACCCATGATTGGAACAGCCCATAGCCAAAGGATAAGGGAGCTGCTATGAAACCAAAACAATAAAACAAATAGGAATCTAAAAGGTAAAATGTCTGACCCATAATAAAAAAAAAAACACATATCCAATTACATGAATTTCATCATCCATCATGAAGCCAAAAAAAAGACTAAATTTAAAATTAAAAAACTCAAAATAAAGTGTATCAAATGAAGAAAAAGAAAGTTGTTGGGGCCAGCCCTGTGGCGCAGTGGGTTAATCATCTGCCTACGGTGCCCCCATCCCATGTGAGCGCTGGTTGTAGTCCCGGCTGTTCCTCTTCCGACCCAGCTCTCTGCTGTGACCTGGGAAAACAGTGGAGGATGGCCCAAGTCCTTTGGGCCCCTGCACCCACATGGGAGACCATGAAGAAGCACCTGGCTCCTGGCTTCAGATCAGTGCAGCTCTGGCCATTATGGCCATGGGGGGTGAACCAACAGACAAAAGATCTTTCTCTCTGTTTCTCCCTCTCACTCTCTGTAACTCTACCTCTCAAATAAATCAATAAAAATCTTTTAAAAAATAAATAAATAAACAAACAAATAAAAGAAAGTTGTGGCCTGATCTCTAATTCCTGTTTAGTAGCAACAGAACCAGATTTTTTCAGTTTATACCACCAAAAACAGGTGAATCAAAAGTTGCCCTCTCATTCTTGAATTTTTGAAAAGAAAAACTGGGGTAAACTCATATTCAATGATCATAGGATCCTTCTGTTCTGCAAAAGGCTAAAATTTAACTTTTCCCAAACACATATATGAGAAGTGTATGTGTTATCTATATTTTTTAAGCATAAAATCTCCAATGTGGGGTGTATTTTTGTGTCTTTAGGTTTTGCATGTCAAATACGTTCTTTTTGATGACAGAATAAATAATTTAAAAACAGGAATACTTGAGTGGAAAAGCATATTTCCAAATTATAAGAGAGCCACTATGAAGCCAAAACAATAAAAAAGACCATATATCTAATTATATGAATATCCCCATCCATCTCCTAGCCAAAATATTAACAGACTAAAGTGTAAAATATCCAAAATTAAATGTACCCCAAGAAATTAATAAAAAAAACACACACAAAGAAACTGTGGCTTTATCTATCATTGTGGATAATAGCAACAGAACTGGATTTTCCTGGTTTGTACCACCTAGGTATTCCCTGTTTTTTCTAAGCATAAAATATCAGAAGTAGGGTATTACTTTGTATCTAAGGTATATAATGTCACATGTGGTATTGTTGATGACAGGATTAATTAATTAATTAATTTAAAAAACCAGTAAACCAATAGGATAACAACCCATAGCCAAAGGATAAGAGCTTTATTTAAAATATTCATGTGGTACATTTTATCTTGAATTTTTTATTTTTTCAGTCATTTTTTATTGTGGAATTCATGTAATTTGATATACAGACTTTTTTTTATCATGGTTCAGGCATTTCACATGTTGGATTCCATTATTATTATTGGTGTTGTTGTTGTTGTTTTGGCTTCCTAGTGACTCCCATATCCTTTGGCTATGGGCTGTTCCCCTCATGTGTTCTTGTTTCTGAATTCACTTATTTACTTATTCTGTCATCATGTTATATGTATTTGGAAAACTTTAAATTTAAATCTTTTGCAAAACAGAATGATCTTATAGTTATGGAAAATAAGTTAGCCTCCATTTGACATTTTAGTGTAATAAAAATACAGAGAACACCTATACTTCTTTTTTTAAGATTTATTTATTTGAAACTTAGAGTTACACACAGCGAGAAGGAGAGGCAGAAAGAGAGGGAGGTCTTCCATTTGGTGGGTCATTCTTTTAAAAGAGTTAGCTCTTTTAAAAGCATCAGGAATGCTAGAGCAACTTTTCATTGATGAGTTCTAGGTGGTGCAAGCTGGAAAAATCATGGGAAAATCATGAGCTCCTGTTTTATAAATTTATTTAGTTATTTATTCTGTCATCAATAAAACATATATGACATACTATTCATTATGATACAAAAACTCCACACAGTTTAGATTTTATGCTTAGAAAAATGCAGATAACATCTACACTTCTGATACATGTATCTGGGACAATTAAATTTAAGCCTTTTGCAGAACAGAAGGATCTTATGGTTATACAAAATGAATTTGCCACTGGTTTTCCTTTTTACAAAATTAGGAATGCTAGAGCAAGTTTTCATTGGCTGGTTTTGGGTGGTACAGTCCAAAAACTCCAGTTTTATTGCTACTAACCATGATTACAGATCAGCTGACAGTTATGTTGCTAGTAATCTAGATTACATATCAGGCCATAGTTTGTCTGTTCTCTTTCTTTCTTTCTTCCTTTCTTTCTTCTTTTCATGTGGTATATTTTATTCTAGGTTTTTAAAAATTTACTCTAATTATTTTGACTACTTCTCAAGTGGTGGAATTTGTTTAATTTGATATCCTATTTTTTTTTAAATCATTGCTCAGGCAGTTCAACTTTTGGACTCCTCATTTTTTATTGTTTTGTCTTCCTAGTGACAGCTTTATCATTTGCCTATGGATTGTTCCCCTCATGGTTTTCTGTATAATAAATTTATTTATTTATTTATTTATTTATTTATTTATTATGTCACAAACAGCAACACCTTTGACAGAGGAAGCCTTTAGACACCAAAAAAACTCTCACATTGGAGATTTTATGCTTGCAGAAATACAGGGAATACCTACACTTCTGATGTATGTATTTGGGAAAAGTTAAATTTAAGCCCTGTGAAGAACAAAAGGATCTTATTGAAAATGAGTTTGCCTCCAGTTTTTATTTTAAAAAACTGAGGAATGCTAGAGCAACTTTTCATTGGCTGGTTTTGGGTGGTACAAACCAGAAAAATTCAGTTCTGTTGCTACTCACCAGGATTACAGATCAGGCCATAGTTGTTTTTTTTTTTTTTTTTTTTACCTTTCTGTGGCACATTATATTTTGGCTTTTTTACAATTTTAATTTGTTATTTTTTGGCAATGAACCAGATGGTGAAATACATGTAACTAGATATATGGTCTTTTATTTTTTTACCATGTCTCATGCATTTTACCATTTGGAGTCCTAGTTTTGTTGTATTGTTTTGGCTTCCTAGCAGCTCCCTTATGCTTTGCCTATGGGCTGTTTTCTCATGGATTTCTATTTTTTTTAACTTAATTCTTTATTTATTCTGTCATCAACAACAATATATTTGACATAGTATAAATTAAGATTCAAAAATTCATCCCATATCTGAGATTTCATTTTTGTAAAAATACAGAGTACACCTACACTTCTGATATATGTATTTGGGAAAAGTTAAACTAAAGGCATTTGCAGAACAAATGATTTTATGTTTATTAAATATTAGTTTGGCTCCAGTTTTCATTTAAAAAAATAAAGAATGCTAGAGTAACTTTCGATGGATGGTTTTGGATGGTACCAACTGGATAATGCAAGTTCTGTTGGAACTGACAATGGTTAACAGAGCAAACCCCAGTTTCTTACATTCTTTTCTGTTTTTAACAAATCTGTGTAGTATAATTCTTGTTTTTGATTTTTTAAAATTTTATTGTTATTTTTTGGCTTTGCACTGGATGGTGGAATTCATGTAATTGGATATATGGTCTATTTTTAATCATGGCTGAGGAATTTCACCTTTTGGATTCTTCCATTTTTTATTGTTTTTGTTTCTTAGTGGCTCCTTTATCCTTGGCTATTGGCTGTTTGCCTCATGGATTCCTGTTTTTTAAATTTATTTATTTGTTCTCTCATCAAAAACAACACTGTGGGGAGCAACTCGGACTAGACTGTTACTCGAATTAAGACTTATTTTATGCATCTGCTCTCCCACAATATGGCGCTGGGAGAGGAGGAAACAGCTTCTACACAGCTGCCTCCAGTTCAACCAATAAACAGCAGGACCTGCTCCTGATTGGAGGAGAGGAGCGTACTCGGCGTGTGGGTAGCAGAGTTGGGCTTGGTGGAAGAGGACTATAAAGGAGGAGAGAGACAACATGCACCAGGAACATCTATCTGAAGGAACACCTGTGCTGCCCGAGAGAGCCGGCCAGCGGTGTGCCGCTCCCCCGCGGAAGTGGGGAAAGTGGCAGGGGGAACCACCCTTCCACGGAGGTGGAAGGGATGGTAGCCAACCCGGGAAGAACCAGCAGCAAACCCGGGGAGGGCCGAGCAGACAAAAGAACAATGCAGGGTTTAGTGTCATTCCTCCGCGAAGAGGGGGAGCGACATAATGGTGCTGTGACTCGGATATGAAGCCTAGGCAGGGTTTAGTGTCGTTCCTCCATGAAGAGGGGGAGCGACAAACACATTTCATGTAGTATACCTTAAAATTCAAAAAACACTCCACATCTGATACTTTATTTTTAGAAAAATACAGAGAACATCTATACTTCTGATATGTGCAAACGTTAAATTTAAGCCTTTCACAGAACAGAGGATTTTATGGTTATTAAAATTATTTTGCCTCTGGTATTCCTTTTAAAAAAGTTAGCAATGCTAGAGGAGCTTTCCATTGGCTGGTTTTGGGTGGTAGAAACTAGTTAAAACCAGTCATATCACCTTTTGGATATCTCAGGGTTTTTTTTTTTTTATTGTTTTGGTTTCCTAGTGGCTCCCTTATCCTTCTTCTATGTGCTGTTCATATCATGGATTTCTGTCTTTTAAATCTATATATTTATTTATTCTGTCACCACTAACAACATATTTAACATAGTGTACCTTGGATAGAATGTAGCTTTTATGCATAGAGAAGTACAGAGAAGACCTACAATTCTGATATATTGATTTGAGAAAACTTAAATTTAAGCCTTTTGCAGAATAGAAGGATTGGGGTTCGTGCTGTGGTTCCCATGGTTAATCTTCCACTTGCAGCACTGGCATCTCATATGAGCACCAGGTTCTAGTCCCAGTTGCCCCTCTTCCAGTCCAGCTCTCTACTGTGGTCCGGGAGGGCAGTGGAGGATGGCCCAAGTGCTTGGGCCCCGCACTCACATGGGAGGCCAGGAGGAAGCACCTGGCTCCTGGCTTTGGACTGGCATAGCTATGGCCGTGGCGCCCATTGGGGAGTGAACCAACAGAAGGAAGACCTTTCTCTGTCTCTCTCTCACTGTCT